ACTTGAAACCTAATAAATTTATGAGCCAAAAGTTTCATTTGATTTCATTGGATCAAGTCAAAACAACCTCAAAATTATGAAGGGTGTTTTGGAAAAGACTTCTTGATAATCAAAAGTACTATTCGGTATCCTTGGGAATGATAGAAGAATAGCTGGGCATATATTAATTTCACTATAAATAGTCTACTTAAAATTAATTTTATTGAAATGTTTTTTAATGCTTCACATAATGTAATAGGATTTACTCACATGTATAAAAATAAAACAGCGATTTTTTTTTTTTTAAGATAGAAATGCTCCTGATGTATTCTCTCTTCTCCCCAAACTCAACAGAACCCAATCAACACATTGTTAGGTTAAATAACAAGAAGCTGAACTGGAACAGAAAATAACCAGTTATATTCGAAAAAACATCAAGTTGCCAAGGCTTTGGGTTTATTTGCTTCCTTATCTAAAAATCACATGGGTCAGACATTTGTGAAATTTATGTGAAATGAAAGCTGAAGAGCCCCTCAGCACAATTTCCGAATAGGCTGCTGCGGGTGTTATTACTGTGTTGACTCACTGCATCATCAATCATAAAAATCAAAACTGACACATCAGACAAAGGGCCAAGGACTCCTCAAAGGCTTGCGTCTCATCCTTTTAATATTGCCCATCCACGTCACAGCGCTGTGACCTCTGGTATCAGAACAACACGAAAGGACTTAAATCAAGTCTCTTCCAAGCAGAGACATCATCCAGGCTGTTTTCTACCCACATTTTGATGACCCATTTTCAGGATGGGGGGAGGAGGGGCAAAAGAAAAGCCAGTTACACAACACCAAAGATGTGTGTTTCTCTGGTCACTGCTCGCACAAGATGATGCCCCTATGGAAGTGAAGCTGCCCCCGGACGCTGATACTCGACAACCAGAGAAGGAAGCTTAACGCTGTGCTTAAACCAGACACAAGTGAGCTGCTGAAGTCACCGGTACTTATCAGGGGTTGACTGGTTGGCTGGTTGGTTGGTTTTGTCCATGGCAATATGCTGCTCATCAACCAAAGCAAATTTAGTACATGTGTCCACTCCCCTTTCGGGCTTATAAAAGAATGCCACCTATGCTCATATACACTGCCAATTATCAGTTACTTGGTCCCAAGGATAGAAAGAGGGAGCATAGGTGCCATGAGTATTCTTGGTGATTTTGCTCCACCCACTCATCCCAACATCCCTGCGCATGTCTCAGCCCTCTTCCTTCAAACAGTGATCCTAAGGAAAGCTGCTGAGACTTGCCATATTAAGGCAAACATGGAAAATGTGAATTTGAGTAAATCCACCTTAAATAGCATATTTGTGGTAGTTGCTTCACACTGAGCATTTTGTTAAATAATTGGCATTAGAATGAACAGGACACATATGACATAAGGAGCTGTAACCACCCGTCCACCATGTGGTGAAGTGGACATGTGTGGAGGGCTGCAGACCAGAGAAGCTAGGAAAGGAGAAGGCCCAGAGGGAAGACACTTAGGAAAGGAGACAAAGCAGGAACCGCATGTAAGAGAGCAGGCAGGAGCTCCAAGTGAACCCAGCAGCCACAGTCCCGAGGAAGGGAAACAGATGGGTGTGGGCCCCAGGGCAGTAGGTAGGACTAGAGTGTAGAATGAAGGGACAGGGTGTTGGAGAGCAAGCTACAAAAGCACTCCAGGGTTAGACTAGAGTTGACTCAAACGCCTCTCCAAGGAGTCTACACTTGAACACAAAAACAGTAGCCATTTCATTCAGACTTAACGGTCAGATTTTCATTATCAGAAATTCCCTAGAGGGTGAAGGGCAAATCAGAAAAGCACAAGAACAGAACCAGGAAGACCCATCAGAGTTCTGTAGGCCTGATCCTGAGGAGGCAGGACATGCACTGGAAGACTTCAAGAGTAGAGGGTGGAGGCTGAATTCTAAAGTGACTTAGATGTACTCTTGGAGACTAGCCAGATGAGGAGTAGAAATTCAAAGATTACTTGGTAATATTTAAGCAAGAGAGGACCACGTGGTAGGTGTTCGAACAGGCTCCTGGATATGGTGTGAGAGAGGGAGGGAGTAGCAGCTTAAAAATTCCAGTGTCCAGCTCTAATGCCTTCCACATGGTGCACATATAGACATTGTTCTCTGCTGTGTGGCTGCAGCTGCTCCTGCCAGCACCTGGCTCTGCTTGTCACAGCCCCATACTCATTCCATGCAAAGCCAGGGCCCCACGTCACCCTCCATGTCTGCTTGCTTCAGCTGGCCCAGAACTTATAGAACCTGAGCTTTGCAAGGTCTGAAGATTTGTCATTTGTCTGCCTTCAGCCCCTCATTTCAGTGCCTGTCCTGTCATGCATTAGAACGACTTGTTCCTCCCATCCCCAAACAAACAACCCAACAGAACTACGACCTCATACACTACCTCTTATTGCTGACAGGCTTGCAGTGTCCCTGTGCTTTGCTGAAGTCCACAGCCTGCATTGTTGGTGCAGCTAGAGTGTGGCCTAATGGCTAGGTCCATTCGCTCAGGCAATGGCCACGGAAGCCCTACTGTACACACTTATCCTGGCACAGTGTATGTAGGTCACACAGGCAAATCAGACCATCTGCAGGAGTGGAGCCAAGGCCACCACGAAGTAGTCTCTAAAGTAAGGCAGAGAGAGGCACAAAGCAGGTAAGCAACAACATGCATAGCTCAGATTTTGGCCCCAGGACACCAAGCCCTAGGTCACTTTTCATTGCTGATACGCAATTTTCAGTGGCCAAATGTTCAGGAAATTTCTATGTCAGTATTAAGGCATGATGAGTATATTTACACCATGGAAATCAGTAAATCCTACAAACCAGGTCTCCCCATTCCATTACCTTATCTACTTCCTTGACAACTGCAGTAGAAGCTCCAAATCCCTGCCCCCTTCTCTCTACCAGTTCTGGGTTCCATCAGAGAGTGTAGAACACCAGCCACATCACAATGGAGGTAGACAAATTTTGTGCTAAACCCTGGGTTAGATTTTGAGCATGCTTCTGTGAACAAGAAAATAGGATTGTGAAAATCTAAGCTGTTTGCCCTCCCCCCCATTCTCATCCATATAAGTGGGGGCATGGAATAGGGGGAGGGGGGCTCAGCTCTGTACCTGGTAAATAAGAGTTGAGATGTTTTGTGGCAGTCTAAGAGGAAACTGAGCAAGGTGGGAAGCAAGGGCCAGACCAGGATACATGGCTGTGTGCCCTCAGGCACAGATTTGATGACTCTTCCTCAGTTTCCCTAGTTATTAAATGAACCTACTAATATCTCTCAAGAATTGTCAGGACCAAGTGCATGCAGCCTTTATAGCCAGAATAAATCCTGGTAGCAATTGTCCCATCCTTGTCAATGGACATTCCCTATATTCTCACAAGAGAAACAGGAACAAGTAACAATGAACTCATCTGAATCTTCTCTTTCATGCCTCTTCTCGGAAAATCCCTGCTATTTTTATAGCACAACTAGATTGAACTTCCAACATTTCCTTAAGCAAGAGCTCCCAAAGCATATCAAACTCCTTAAATAACACATTCAAACACACTGAAGGAGAATATCTTGGGGTTAGGGAAGGAATGTTCCTTTCACAAAAGCACCCCAGGGACCCTGTTGCACCCCTTACCTGAGCACTCCCCATACTGCCCAGGTTCCAGATGCAAGTCCCCACAATCACTCAGCATGGCTGGTGTCTAACATCCCTAAATTTAGTGGTTCTTTAAATTCTGAGAATGGGGAGATTTTTGCAGTAAACAATATGCATGCCTCCTCAAAATGCAATGTAAACCAATAACAGGCTCCAATAATGCTATTTTTTAAAAGGCTTTAAATAACTTTTCAATGCAAAACAACCCACTCAAGTACTTAATTCATTTTATAGGCCAACTGAACCACGCGCTCCGGGAACCATGCTTAACCACGAAACAGAGTCATTTCATCCACACCACACAGTGACTGCAACATTAAACCAAAAGGCTCCACATGGTGCTGACTGAAGGGTATTATCTATGTAAACTCCCTACACTCCCTCACTTTGGGACAGAGCTAGTGTCCTAATAGATTCCCTGTGTCTAAGCCATATACATTTTATGCACCAAAAATTTCTTTTGAGCCTCTCCCTCCTGGAGAACCTGGAGATAAATCCAGCTGATGTGTTTTCCCGAATAAGTTAATGTTACAGGTTTTACAATGGTGACCTCAAATCCACACTGCAATTAACAGCAGTTCAGCCAATGCTTCGAGCTTGATAGCCCACTAGCTGCCTTTTAATTAAAATTCCAAGTTGGTGTTTTTGTTTTCAAAGGAAGGATGGAGCCCATCAAGGTCACTCGGCGCAGCGCTGCTGGGAACCATGCCTGGCTGCACATTTACACTTCAGCAGCTCCTGGGAGGGCAGCGCAGCAGCAGGAAGGATTTCTAGCCACTTTCAGAATGCTTTCCAGATACAGTCTCTACAGTATGATATATTCTAGCAAGATGGACTGGAACAAAAGTAGGTTATTGACTGACAGATGCAGGCCTTCCAATGGGCCTTGGAGCATCAGCAATTGGGCTCTTTCCAGCTATATTTAGCATCCGCATTAATGTACTGCCAAACAATGCCCTTTAGAAAAGTCACATAAATCAGAGGAGGAAAGATCACCAAAATTTATGAAGCAATCACTGTGAGATACCCCTGGGCACAATCATTGTGATAAATACCTTGTTAAGCCCCCTGCCCATCCCTACCTTATGTTTCTTGTTAACATGAGGGGGTCCATTACTGAGAGCTGCTACTTCCCAAAGGAGAGGCCATCTGCATGTAGGAGTTATACTACAATCTGGGCCCAATACAACTTGACAAAACCATTCTCAGAATTACAGAGAGGGAAGAGCCCTCTCAGCAAGAAGTTCCCCAAATTTTCCTGGTAACCTCATTTTTTTCTCACTTTCTTATTTTCAGAAGCAAAATAATTACACTTAGAAACAAATAGGTTTTCCTGTTTACTCCTTCACAAAATTTTTCCATGTAAGTAATGACATAAAACAAGGCATAATCCTGGTTGGACTATGCATTCTTGTTCTTAGGCCAGAAATTAGGAGTTCCAATTTGTTGGAACTCCCCCATTAAGCACATTTTTGAAAATGGAGGTGAAGCTATTCCTCCCTAAAGGAAGCAAGCTTGTGCATAGAAGCAATTTTGGGCGCTGACATCAAGCGATCTCACAGGAGCACCTTCTTGCCTGAAATGGAGAAGTAAATGATAATTTCTCTAGTTGGGAAATTTGGCTTCACAGAAGGCACACACTAATGGGACCAAAAGTAAGTCTAATACTAGCCCAATTGCTTACTGGGTGACCTTGGGTAAAATCTCCAGCTCTCTCAGCCTCTCTGTTTCCTCAGCTGTAAAATGGAGATAAAAGAGTACCTACCAGGAGGAAATGTTATGAAGAGGGAATGCAGGTAAAAGCACTTATTTTTAGTATCTGGCACACAGCATGTGCTTAAGAAATATTGGGTATTATTATGTTATATATTGATAATTCCCCAAAGGAAAAAGAATAGTAGAAATGGGGATATTTTTGAGAATGTTAACTTCAGAGCTTACCTCATCTTCCCAAAGATAGAGGATGCAGGGCAGATACAATAGAAGAGTACAGAGCTTTTCTGCCAATTTGCCATTTTTAGTAACTTTATTCACTCAAATATGAATTGAGTATCCATGTGCAGTAAGGATTGTGGTGGATTGGGGATGGATGGGTTTCATGCTGTAGGGTAAATAGTTGTCAGGCTTTTCTGCCCTGCTGCCATTAGATTAATGATGATCCCTGTGGTACTAAATGCATGCCTGATGGCAGATACCTGGAGTAGGGTATGGGCATGCATGGGTGGGATTCACCTGGGCTGAGACTGAGCTTTTAAGGGCGGCATCAGGGATGGGAGCAGAACACCAGAAAGAGAACCAGAAGAGACCAAGTGAGAGAACAGAAAGGCACCAGCAGAAGAGAAAGAGCGAGAAAGAGAAGCAGAGGCCACGAGAGAATGCCAGAGAGCCCAGAAAAGAGTGAGGACTTGCTGGGGGCTGAGAGGCCTGCCAGCCTCCCAGCACCCCTGCCTGCCATGTACCTGGTAAATCCAATAAAAGCCTGAGATAAGCCACCGAGGGTTCCAGGACTCCTCCTTCACCCGTTGTAAGGGCAGGACTGGACACAGGACAGGTTTCTGATCCCAAGCAGACCGGGTAAAGGAGGAGTCGGAGTCCTCAGTGGTTTTTTGCAGGTCTTTTATTGTGATTATCAGGTACATGGCAGGCAGGGGTGCTGGGGGGCCGGGAGGCTGGCAGTCCTCCCAGCCCCCAGCAAATCCTCACTCTATCTAGGCTCTCCGGTGATCTCTGCTTCTGCTTCTGCTTCTGCTTCTTTGCTTCTCTCTCGGCTTCTCTTTCGGCTTCTGCTGCCGTCCCCGTGACGCCACCCTCAAAAGCCCAGTCTCAGCCCAGGTGAATCCCATCTATCTATGCCCACACCCTGTTCCAGGTGCCCGCCATCAGGCATGCATTCAGGACCTCAGGGTTCCTTCATCTATCCTAATGGTGGGAGGGCAGAAAAGCCTGATACCTTTTACCTTACCCTACACACGTCTTCTCAGATCAGAGATCCTGCTCTGTGCCTTCCTGCTGCTACTCATGCCTTTTCTATCTTCTTTCTCCCACTGTGGGATTAAGTATTCTGACCTATGCTGAAAGATCATAATGAAGTAAATCCAGTCCATAAATTGAGAGCATTCACATGGGTCATTTTCATTTTTCATGGTGATAATGTGAATATTATTTATGGCACACAATTTTCAGAAACAAACTGAATCTGAAGAGCTTTAGTGTAATTGGGACAAAGCAAAGGCCTTTCATGTGTTAAATATTGAAAGCAGATACCTAAGGCTTGATCCCTCCAGGGTATGCCAGGTTTGTTGGGCCAACATGGCAGGCTCCCTGTGGAGACCACTCTGCAGCAGCTGGGACCCCCTTCTTGCATGATTATACCTGGCCCGCTTGAAGGAGCACCAGGTGCAGTGTGCTTCTGACCCCACTGAGGTTGACTCAGGCCATGGCTCCTCAGAGCCTTCAGGCCCATGAACCTGCTCTGACTTCAAGGCAGGACAAGCCTGCGCAAACCCCAGCTTTTCCCTTTTAAACCTGCCACCAGGATAATAAATGGACCTATCATGATCAAGTTCTCCAGCTGTCTGTCTAGGACTTGAGCTCATTAAGCATATGGAAAAAACATTTCAATCAGTATTGCAGGGTGGGGACCCTGAAGATAATATAAGCAGAGTAAGGAGTCAGCTGGATTCATTCAGCAGACTGCCTAAATGAGGATAGAAGCATGCAGGAGATGGCCTTCAAAGAGAGAAGAATGACTCAGCAAACTGGCTCTGAGAAGAAGCATCAAGCAGACAATCTCGGTGGGACTCCAAGACCTCCACCGACTTCCAGACCTTCATAGACTTCAAGACCTCCATGGAGCTACGGACCCCTGTAGACCTGCCTCTGGCCCTGCCTCTGATATCGCAGCTCAGTGTCTCAAAGAGCTGTTGGCTTTTGATTCATACGAAGAGCTATAACACTGGTGCCTCTGTCACCACGTTCTAGTGACCAATGCTAACCAACACTACTCACCAGTGCTAAACAGCACTGCTAACAGGTGACCAGAATTCTATGTCCAACCACCTTGTTCCACCATTCTGATCTTGCAGCACTGCCTCTCGCTGCTATTGCCTCTGCTGCTGTTGAACCCGACCTTCAGACTGTTGCTGTGGGCTACTGTGGTGTCACCTCAGTGGCCCCACTGTGAGCACCTCCAGCTGCCACTGAGAGTTGAATCCTGGTCCACTGTTTACCAGGTGCCATCAGCTTGAGGCCCTCATTGATGGGACAGCACCATCTTGCCTTTGCTTGAGACTACTGGACACTACTACATGCAGCCTTTGTTTGGGACTACTGGACACTGAACACTCTCTGGGGTGAGACAACAAAACACTTGTGGCCTTAGTCTTTTGTCTCCCCACTTTCCTGTTCCTTAAATAAACCCCATTGTAGTTTTTCCCTGAACCATTCAAATTGAGCAATTGAGCACATGAGTGAGAACCCACAGACTGTGACCTGTGCCCCAACTTGGCACCATCTTTTGGCAGTGTTTTAATATTGTTTTGGTACTGTTTTAGTACTCCTAAGCCATTCAAAATAAGTTATTTTTGCTTTAAAACTGTCTTTTAAGCATTTCAGAGTGCACTTAGCACAATACATAGCTATTGAATGTAACAGTACTAAAAAGTATTGTGAAAGGTCTTCTATTGACCTTAGGTATGATTGTTACATATTTCTTCAGGCTTCCTCTTGGTCTGGAAGATGATGACTTCAGGAAAGCAGGCTGGTGACCCCAACTGCATGCGAGGGCTCTGTGCACTGTGCACATTGGTGCCAATGCCATTGTTTTGAGCACGTATAGATTAGAAATGACAATAGGATCATTAGATGTTGGGTCTGGATGCAAAAGTCTAAATCACAGAGAGCAAAGTGGTACCTCAGTTCTCCTCTAAAACAATATAATTATCTAATGTATCAAAAGAACAGGGAATCCTAATTCATCAGCTTTGTTACTCTTAAATCACATAACCTCTATAAGCTTTAGTTTCTTCATCTGTTAAAAGTCATAATTCCAAGGTTTTAATGATAATTAAATCAGGTAAAATACTTAAAGAAGTGGAAGGAACAGAGGTGGAATATAAGCAGTCCCTTCCTCCCCGGAAAGCAGCCTGCCCCCCTCCTGTCTACTCTCCACCTGGGACTCTAACCAGGAGTAAGAAATGGAGAGCAAGGCCAACCATAGATGTGCCCTGCCCTCTTCGGCACCCCAATATCTTTGTGAAGATAAACTCAGATTGTTATGAACATCAAAGCAGTATTTCAATTTGACTTCTGCCCTCACTATTCCACTAAAATTCTTCAGACGTTCTAATCTCCAAGCAAATGACCTTTGGCTGGAATTCATTTCCCTCCTTCCTTTTGCAGCGTTTGACACTGGCTTATTTCCATCTTGAAATCTTTCTCTCTTTTGGTTTCTATGATGTGATACTGCCCTGGATTTTCTCCTATCTCTGTGATACTCTCCCTCCAGATCTATATTATGGTCTCCACTTGCCCTTCCAATTCATAAATATAGGATGGGCCTGTGTTTCTAGACCTCATCTCTTTCTATTCTTTCCCCCTTCATAGCTCTACCTCATCTCAGGGGAAAAAAAAAAAATCAAAAAAGTTTTGACTCTTTCCCTCCAAAATCATGGCTCCCAAATAGGTATCCGTGGCCTTGACATCATTTTTTAGAATAGGGTTGGAACACCCAAATATCTACAGTGGTCAAGTAGGTAATAAAAATAAATATAACATTAAGCACTAGAGTTACTAGGGAGTGGCAGGGACTGTAGCAAAGGGGAGAGCACATATATCCCCCTCATATCTAGCAGAGGGTTGTCTTATAAGAATGAGAGCTTGATGATTTCAAATCTTAAGATTTTTCAAAAGAATTCAGAAATGCAAATTTTTATAAACAATTCACAACTAATTCATTTTTTTCATTGTGCCAGTTAACCCCATACAGAGCAAACAGACTGCACTTAAAAGTAAAAGGTGGCCCATGCACAACTAATTTACTACATCTTTATAGATCTGCAAATTCAACTTCACGCTACAAGTTCATTTAACCCTCACTGAAAGTCTCACTAGAACCTCAATTAACATATTCAAACCCCACCATAATCTTCCCTAAACCAGCTTTCCTTATTAGGCTACAATTCAAATATTGTTATTCCCATTCTAGGCAGCCATGTCTGAAACATCCACATCATCTTCAGATTTTTCTTCACTTTTCTCTCATCTGACTAGCTCTGCTGTATTATCTTTTCAATGGGTCTTGAGTTAACAGCCTCATTTGTATTTTCATTGTCACCATTAATTCTCTACTACAATATTGTGATAGACTTACTGATCTCCCATCTTTTTCTCCCCATGCTTATCCATTTTGTACTACTCATGGATTAATTTCTAAAAATATTCTTTTTCACATAAATACCCTATTTAAATGTTTCACAGCTTCCTATAACCTTTAAACTTTAGAATAACCTTCTCAACCTGGCATTTAAAATCCTGCATAATCTAGGGTAGATACTACCATTGTGCTTTAATATCCATTTTCTCCTCCTCCTTTATAAATTCTATTAATTTTCTGGGAACAAGGATAGCTCTCTAAAATAAAGAGTATATTTCCCAGGATATCTTGCTGCTAGGTGTGACAATGTAACTAAGTTTCCAACAAATGGAATAAGCATAAAGATCTATGTAGTAGTTTCTGGGAACCTTCTCTAAGAGATAGGATACATATGTTTTTTACCCCCATTCTTTTTTGTTCCTTTTTCCATCCTGATGTCTGGAATATGATGTCACAGACACTATGATGTCACAGTCTTGGGCTATATTCTCAAGGGCCACACTGTGGAGTAATAAGAGTGGAACCTGCCTCCCTGACACAATAGTACCGTGCTAGCCCTAGGAACGACGGGACTTTACATATTTGTATCTTCTGTGAACATAGTTATAATTTATTTGTTTTCTGCCGCTCTCAGCCAAACCTAATCCTAACTATAATAATATAGATCCCACCTAACATACTCCTCGAATTCCCTTAAACATATCCCGTCCATTATTCAAACTAAGCTACATGTTGTTCCTCACTATGTCTAGTTTCCTCCCTCTACCTCTTTTCATACTACACCTGGATTGCTTTTCTCTTGTTGAAATTCTATCTCTCTCTCTCAAAACCCATCTCGAATCTCATATTTCACTTCCAAAAAAATCATTTTTCACCCCCCCAGTAGTACAGGATTTCTCTCTGTAAGTCCCATAAACATTTTATTTATTCCTCTCTCACTTTCTCTTGCATTGTATTTATTCTAATACACACAGCCAACATCATGCCCAACCATTGCCTCCTTCTGCATACTGAATAGAGTAAGTCCATGACATAATTTGTTTAATTGAATTGAGGGGGAAAATTACCCACAAGAGAACAACGATTTGCTGAGGAGCATATGCAGAGTCCCCTTCTAGGACTGTTGAGGGCAAACAAGGTTTTGTGGGCAGACTCTGTGTACATGTATTGAGCTGGAGTCATTATTTGATTTACCAGCTGGCAGAGTCACCTCTTTGTCATGTATTAGAGCCATATCACCCCCCAAATCCAGGGATTAAACAATTGCATCGAATTACCCACTCTCTGCCCATGGCTTTCCCTTTGCCTTGTATCTTCCCAATCAACCCTTAGCCAATGACAGCCTGGATTAATCACTTGATCAGTGAGCCATTTGACTTCATATTTGATCAGAAGCACATTTTATAACTTCAAATTTGGGCATAGCCCCCACTGCATCTAAGTTCCACAAATCCTTTTAGATTTTTCTTTTGGAACCTATCTCTGAATAATAATAAGAATAGCTTGCCTTGGCAGAGGGTTGAGGTTAGGATTACATGACATATGGCCCTGTTGGATGCAAGCCACACTGTCAGGTTATCCAGGGGGCTGGTCTTTGTGTCTGTGAGATGCTTACCTGAGAACCCCCATTACTTCTTCTGGTCAGAAAGCTTTGACAAAAGATGTCATTTAGATATAAAGAGCAAAGAAAGGAGTTGGGAAGACAGAAATATCCTCTCTATGTCCTAGGCTACTCTGGGACTGAGCCCATCAGGGAGTCAAATGCTCACTTCCAAATGAACCCACATTTGCCTCTCTCCTAGTGACATCTGTTCTCTCAGAAGCAGTGCAGCTTCAGCAGGCTGGAAGGGAGGCTTGTGTCGTCTCTGAAGACAGAGGCTCTGACTCCAGCCTCTGTCATCCCAACTACCCTGTCTTAGATTTCTTTAAAAAAAAAAAAAAAAAAAAAAAAAAAAAAAGATTTATTTATTTATTTATACAAGCACTGGGTACAGTCAGAAGTGCAGGAGGGTGAGAGAATTCACCAGAGTCAGAGCGGAGAGCAGAGCAGGCAGACTGATGAAGTACACTGCTGAGGGGAGCAGCGGGCGGTAGGAGAGGTCTGGGCGCCATGTGGGACTCTCACCTGATGGCGGGGAACTAACCGGCACTGCAAAGGCTGCGGGCAGCTTCGCAAAACCGCTGCAACACCGGGGAGGCCCTGTCTTAGATTTCTTAAGCACAGTTTAGTGCTGAAGGTGAGCACAGATTGGAACAAAGGAGAGAGTGTCCATGTCACAGGCTAGGGATTAGTCTCCTGCCCCATGAGCACAGGGCTAGCAGGGGGGAAAGGACAGGAGCTCAAGAAAGGAAAAATGTTAAAGAGCTGGTCGCCACTGGTTACAAAACAAGCTCCCCCTTCAGGTACCAGGTCTGCTACCCATGACTCCCTCATCTTTCAAAACCCCTGATTCTTCCATTGAGTCCTGCAGACAGAGTGTATTTCTAGCACTTTTTAAAGGGATTAATTCACACAAAGACCTTGGCTTGGTCCTTGGATTTGTTGTTTTTAACCAGTACTTTGATTTTACTGTTTTTTCCATTTTTCTTATGTATGTGCTACTTTCAACTTATTTTATCAACTAAGCATCTTTCACTTTTTTTTAAGTGGGGACATGAAATGACTGCTTCAGTGACAGTTGCCATAGAATGGTGCCTCTGAGATGTCTGACATCAGTGATCAGCTAATATTTTCAGCAAAGAGTCAGAGAGTACGTGTGTTTAGACTTTGCAGGTCATGTAGCCTCTGTTACAACTACTTGCTGCAGTCATTGTAGTATAAAAGCAGCCACAGACAATACATAAGCAAATGAGCATGTCTGTTTTCCAATAGAACTTATTTACAAAAACAGTCAGCAACCAGATTTAACCTATGGGCTATAGTTTGCCCACTCCTGCTTTGTACCCAGAGCTGATGAATATAAAGATACCAGAAAACCAGCCCCAGAAAGAACCAAATAGGTGAACTAATCTCATTAGTCTTTCAACTAGGCACGCATTCTTATACCTGACCTTCTAGGATTTACGGAACCTCTTTGTTCACATCTGAGTCTCTTAGTAACCATGCATTTTGTTCTCAACAATCACTTCAGAATTCTACTAGTCAGAACATGAACTGAATCATTTTCATTCTCATCTGTTACCAACATTGACCCTACACACACCCTAGCTCTCATCTCCACCCAACACTACACCATGAAACTCATTTTTGAACAAAATATTAATGGGAGCACAAACGGATAGAGCAATAAAAATGTATCCATATCATTACAAAAGAAGTCACAGAAGTGACATGTGAGCTGGATCTTTGCCAGACAGAGGATGGACAGAGTGGGGGAAGGGCGAGTGCCTTCCAGGTAAAGGAAAGAAATTGAAATTTTAATTTTAAAAGATAAATGACTTCAGTGTGGAAGGATAGAAGTGAGAGAGTCAGAGGCAGGGTAACAAAATAATAGGCTGTTATAAGAGTCCAGATAACTTAGGATAAAGATCCCCATGAAGACGTGGCTACAGCACAGTTGGTGTTTGGGCTATAAGCTTAAACATCTGAACCACATATATTGATGGTTGTAGGAGGCAGGATCTTTGGAAAGCAATTTGGTAATTAGGTTATGAGAGTGAAGGCCTCATCCCCTTATAAAAAGAGACACTAAAGATTTTGCTTCCTCTGTTTTCTCCTCCAGGTGAAGACACGATAAGAAGTGGAGAAGCTGGCTGCCTGCAAACCAGAGTGAGGACTCTTACCAGACAGGTCTGCTGCCACCTTGATCTTGGACTTTCGGTCTTCATAACTGTGAGAAGTAAAAGCTTGTTGTTAAAAAACATCCAGTCTATAGCAATTTGTTACAACAGCTCAAGCTAACAAAGACAGTTGGAAAATCATCTCCAACATGAACATTTTTTACAATAATATTAGAACTGAGTGCTCAATTGAATAAAGGCAGTGGGAGAGAAGGTAAGAGTTGATTAGGGTTAAGAATGGGCTAGCCATAGGATTAGGTGTTATTAGGATTAGACTTTGGCCTAGGTTCAAGGCTCTCACTGGGTTGGTTGCTTTACATACACATTTAATTTTCACATCTTTAAATATAGGAGATATCTTACAAATGTTCTTGTGTATCTTGGTTTAATTGGCAGAGTATTTACTTCATAACAATTGAAATACATGGAGTAAAGGTGAATTTTCTCATCATGAACATCTTCTATTTTTTTAATACAGTGAATGCATTCAAATCACAATAGAAAATCAAGTGATTCATGTTGGCGCAGAGAAAGAAAAATCATTATTGGTATGCATTGTTTGCTACTCATATTTTGCTTGTTAAGGAACCTTTTATAGACTATGAAGTCCTTTTTTAAAGAAAAGTTAATCAAATTCACTTGTTTTCAGTTCACTGTGTTTTCTAGAAGGAACATAGAGAATCGGGTTTGGTGGTTTTCAGGCAGCATCATGTAAGAACACTTAAAATTAAAGAGCAAAGATTGAGGTGAGTTCTGCAAAAATGGAGAATGAAGTTCTTAGAAGAAAATGTAAAAAATAAAATGGAAAATATGCTAACAAGAAGTATGGACATTCCGTTCAGGAATTTAGCAAGCAGGTGAATTCAGTGAACAAAATCACTATTTTTAAAACAACTTGTTACTCATTACCAACCTAATCTATGATTTGAATTCATTCAAATAGGTCTTTTGTTGTTCAAACTGGACTGTGTGGGTTATCTAATAAACAGAGTATCATGTGAGCATGTTAATTGACTGAGTCCAGAAGAAGACTAGAAATCTTAAAAGATGCCTGAACAAATGAAACTAAAATCTCTCTGCAAAGGAATCCTGTTTTCCTGTTTTCTGGCCATGACTCTAGGTGAATGTGACCACCTCTTTATGGGAATCCTTAATTAACTCTGATTGTATCTATTCTGGCTGAGCTTCATATTTCTGCTACACTGGTCCTACTTAGATGCCATTTCTAAATCACTATTGCACTATAAGCCCCTAATGGCTACTTAGTGCCTCACAAAAATTGTGCAAATGTTTCTGCCTGATTGTAAGGCCCCTGATCAGTTCAACATAACTAACCTTATTCCTGCTGTTCTTCTCCTTATGTCCTCTTATGTCCTTTCTACTGAAATCTCATTTCAGTCCAACTTCATGCATTTTCTAAGATATTTTCCCCAAAACTGGAATATCCCTTTTGAAACTCTGCCCATCAAATTCCACTCCTTTACAGAGGTTTCACCAGCTGAAGTTCATAGGTCAGGCAGGATGCCTGCTACAGCTAGAGCTCCTAGTGAGGGACACCTTTGTAAGGCCAATGCTGGTGACAAAGATATTGTAAGAGGCTGCATCTGCATTGGTGATCATGTTTTATATGACTAAGATCCTTTGGTCAAGGCTGACTGGATCAGCATGGGCTCCTCAGCTAGACCACATAGTTAACAGGCAGGTTAATGGCCAATGAGTTTGCCAGGTGCAAAAATTCTGCATAAATGAGGATGTTGAGGTGCAGGTAAACCAATGAGACCCCCTTTTAGAAGTCTGAAAAGATAGAAAAAGAGCTATAGCAAGAGGTTGAATATTTATAGGGGCAGGAGTAAAAGCATCAGCAAGTGATCAGATTATATTAGGAGTCTCTTATAGAAGAAGCCAGAATTCCTGTAGCTACCAGGCCACAAGATTGCCCTGTTTAAATTAGAGCAGCCTTAGATCCAAAGCAATCTCCCAAGTCCAGTTTCTATGGGGATAGGTCTAAATCAATTTCTGTTTTCCCTAAGAACTCTGTATACTTTTCCTGGATTCCTATAAATTTGGAATGATTGCCTGGAATTCCTGTTTCCCATGTAGAGCTATATGATACTTAAGGGAACCTGAATAAGTGTTAATTCCACTAAACAAAAGAATTTAATCTACACAGTGACCTTCACCAATCCCTGTTTCCTGAACATCAGCAGCAATTTGTCACTTATTACAGAATGTCCTCAAGGTCACCAGTTTTGCATTTGCTTAAATTTTGCATCCCAATAGATCCTATACTTCCTCAGGGCAGGGCTCATGGCTAATGTTTCCTTTTATCTCTCGTGTCCTATATGACCTTGAATATGTTATTTAATCTCTCCAAGCATCAGTAGTCTTGTTTTCAAAACTAGAAATAATAACAGAACCAATTTTGAAGGATAATTGTGAAACATAAATAAGAACATGTCTATGAATGCCTGGCACACAATGAGTGCTCAGTAAGTGTTGCTAGTAATGGCAGTGGTGGCGGTGCCGGTGATGACAGAGTGGGGATGGTGGTGGGGATCATGACAGAGGCAATGGGAATGATAGTGGTGATGTTGGTGATGATGGTCATGGTTATAGTGATTTTTACTGGGCGGTGGTGATGATGATGATGATGATGTTAATGGTGGTTTTGGTGGTGATGGTTGGTAGTGGTTAATAGCATGCAGTTCTGAACATGGAATAAATAATGTAGGAGTGTTCACTGATATGTGGCTCATCTGGCAAGCCATACACTATATTAGTTATAATGATAAATAAGAGAGAGAGATAAACATAAGAGAAAAACCAACATTGTGAAGCACCTGCTCAAATATCAAGCTCTCTGAAGGACATATTTAACTTACACTCTACAAAATCTCATTGGCAGACATTCTAATTTAAAGATGAGAAAAATTCAGATCAAATAAGTTAAATGACTTGCCCAATTAACAAAACTAAATAATGACTCTGCCCAGGTTCAAGATCTACATGACTCCAATAACTGTACATTTTTGACAACATCAGCTACTGCATTGTAAGTCTTTAAGGATTGATTGAGGGAGGGAGGGGGCCCAGCAATGCTTTCTAACACAGTAGTCGTTCCTATACACAGACTTCACTTTTTCTCAAAACAAACCAGACTTGTGACACTAAATATATCATTTGCACCCTAATTTTCCCTATCAAACTCAATTTTCCATATGCACCTGATCAAGGTTTACATTGTATCAGGAGAAATAATGTTCAAATACTCAATTTTGACTTTGACTTAAAAAAAAAAAAGAAGGAAACACGAGGGGGAGGTGTCAAGCAGCAGTTCACACCTGAGAGTTGAAAACTGGCCATTAAGATACACTTCAGATAGAGCTCCTTTTAGAAACATTCTCAGATAATTCCATCCCTCGGAATGTGACTTTTGAAAGAACTGTTTTGTTAGTGTCTGTCTGACTGTGTTCTGGATTCTGCTTCTAGGTCAGAGTTGAGAGAGGAGGGAAGTGAGTACTTTTGTTGAGTCCCTACTACCTCCAGGAATTTAACCTTTATTCACTTATACAGAACCTTTACTCACATATCCTCTGAGGAACCACATTCCATCAGAAAAAGAAAATGAAGCCAAGACAGTGCTTATGATTCCTCCATCAGCAAATGCTAAAATTCTACTTCTTTTTTTAATGTAATTGTTTATTATAACAGCAATAAATGCACATGATTTTTTTTTTTTTTTTTTTTTTTTGCAAATGCAAGCACTTAAGGCAGTAAAATAAAGATAAATATCTTCTTCAATCCCAATGCCCAGTCCAATCATCTGGAGGTAAAATTAATAGGTTCTTGGACCTCATTATAGAAATTTTGGGTACTTACATAAACACACACCACCTACTTTTTTTTGCATGTATGAAACGTACTATTCCTGCTGTTCTATTTTTTCTTAAAAATATTTATTTGAAAATCATCCATTTTGGCACTTGAAAGTAAACTTCACAATACTGTATATATGACCATTTCTGGAATTTACTTAAAAACCCCCTATTGATCTTTATTGAAGTTGCTTCCATTTCTTACATTACAATCTGATGAAATGAGTATGCTTGTACATTTATTTTTATTTCATTATTTTTAATCCAATAATTTTAATTAATTTTTTGTTTATTGTTTGCTTACATCATTTTTATTTTTGGACAATATTTGATTTCTCCCTGTAAGGCATAGTCCCCATAATTCTCCCACCACCACAGCACCTATGAACCATTCCTATAGTCCCTTGTGCCCTTCCCTCCCCCGTTTTGCCCCCTCCTTCTTCCCCTCCTCCCCAGACTCTGAGATAAGTAGAGGTGCCTGGAGTTTTGTCTTCAAAACTCTACTTCTTTCCAGCCCTCTTTACCATCTGTGTGTTCCATGCAGCACTCAGCATCACTATTTGCCCCTTCTTTCCCCTTATTAGAAGTACAGGTTTCTAAAAGCAAAGGCTTCGTGGACAAGCTGGCTCAGATTCAAACCCAAGTGTGGTACAACCAGCTGAGTGACTTCCCCATTCTTACTTAATATCTCTGAGCTTCAGTTTACTTCACCAAAATATTATGAACACTGACTAAAATATATAAATATGTCTCATAGTACAATCTCTAATACACAGAGGATATGCTCACCACCACTGATTATATTACTAGGTTTGCTATGTTTTCTCTCTAGGACTTTTTTCTCAATTTTTCTTCCTCTGATTTTTTTTTTTTTTTTTGTACTTAATAGTATTTTTTCCTCTGATTTTTTGGTGCTGATTTCTGACTAAGAGCTAGAAGCTAGCAAAACCGTTATAGAAATACCAAAGCCCGTTTTACCCATCAAGCAACCACTAAGACTGTGAGAAAGAGCTGGCAGGGTGATGGTGAAAAGCAAATTAGATATGAGTTAGTAAAGCTGATACAGCAGCAAAGGGGCTAATGCAGTTTTGGGCTTTGTTCCCAATGGTTTCATGAGCAGAGATAGAGGTGAGAGTCAAACCCCACCTGGAAAATTACATTAAATTCCCAGCACTTCAATACCATAAAGATGTAGAAAACTGAAGGGAGTTCAGAGAAGAGTAATAAAAATGATGGGGAGGTTGGGAGAATTGATTTACTAGGAAAGATTAAAATAACTAACTATGTACAGCACGTCTGGGTGGTGACTGGTGAGGAGCAAAGGGGAAAACATAGCAGCCTATAAATAATGGAAACATGTAAACACCCACAGGAAGAGTTATTTAGCATGGTACAAGGAGGCACAACCCCAGGTAATGAGGGTAAGATGAAGGAAAAGGACAATTTATGAATAACACTGTGAAAGTTGGGGGCGGGGGGGGGAGCAGTGAATAGAGAGAGAGAAGCTAAAAAATTTAAGATACTAAGGAGTGATGTTCCAATTCAGCAGGAGGAAATGCTATTTTTTTTTCTAAATCATTTTGGTTTCCAGCCTAAATGTCTGTGATATTATCAATATATATCATCATTCCTCCCCCCACCACGCTTCACACTGAAAACAATGAGAGCAGAAATGCATTTGTTTTGCTCACTCTTGTGGTTAGAAGGGTCACTTAATGTCTCATATTCAATAATTCTGAACTTGTTTTTTCCAAACTGGTTCATGTGTGTGCCAATTTTCCACACACAAATATATTTCTGTCCTATTCTTTCTATCATTAAAAAGTGCTTATCAAAATGCAACTAAATGAGTGATATTATGACATGTATAAAACCTTGAAGTCACTCTAATTTATTAATATTGAAAAAGTAAATTCTCTGACTATTTTTAGTAGCTCTACCTGGCCGCTATTGAGCCCGGCTCACTCCCAGCCTGCCTTCCCATAGGACTTCAGCCTCGGCATGGGCAGAGATAACCCAGCCCGGACACATGTCCACACATTTCCAGGAATACAAGAGCATTTTTTTAATAATTTTGAATAGCAAAATCATTGTCGCTATATCTGGTGTAATATGTCCACTGAGATATAATAGAGGAAACCACCCTTCAGTTCATCACAACCACTTGCAGGCTTGATGGAGTGACTCACCCCCCTCAACTCAACAGCCAATTCTGTGGAGATAATTCTAATACAAACTTAGTGAGCTTACCAGGTACCATGGTATTTTTAGTGTGTTATGTTATTTACAAATGAAGGAACTAAGTTAATTAACAGATTCCAGTAAGCAGTGGAGCTGAGATTAAGACCATGTGACCATCTGCAAGCCTACCTGCCTGCCCATACCTCTCTGCTGCCTTCTGGGCACACTTATCCACTGCCCAGATTTCTCTGCACCAGCTCATCAAAGCTACAGAGCACTGATTCATTGAGATTTGTGGTGAGGGGAGGGGAGGATCTTCTTTGTTAGCCAATACTTCTACATTGAGGTTATGAAGTTTGGAGACAACGTCCAGATAGTCCTTGATGCATAAATTTACTTCTGAAAAAGCTAACTGCAAAGCCTAAAGTTCATCTATGGAATCCCAATTCCTCCATTAACTCCCACAGTAAATACATTCCAGGGAGAAAACTAGGAGAGAGGGAGTCCTTTTTTTTTTTTTTTTTTCAATTTACTCAATAAGTTTGCTGAATGCTGCCCAGGCCCCAGGCACTTGGTAGGCAGTGAGAATACTAAGGTAAACAAGACTCAAAATTGCCCTTGGAGTCTAGGGTACAAAAACAAACCATTTCAGCACAATGTGCTATGTAAGTAGTCAGGGGAAAGGTGCTGGCTTGTGGCTGAAGATCCTGAAGGAGAGACAATCTGAATCCATTCTAAGAACCTGCCCCGAAGGGGATCAGGGAGCCCTCCAGGCAAAAGGGATAGTTTGAACAAAGGCACTGGAGTCAAGATAAGTACCTAATTCGTTTACTTTCACCTTTCTGTTTCCATCATTAAAGGGAACACATTTTCCTCTGAGTTCAGTTTTTCTAGAATTCATGGTTTTAGTATCCTTTGCTTTTCCAATGCCTCTGGGCATTTCCATTCTTCTTCAAGGTTGGTTTGAATGTTTGTGTACCCCCAAAATTCATATGTGGAAATCAGAACCCTCAAAAGTGATATTACTGGGGACTATAGGAGGTACTTAAATCATCAGGATTAATGGGGTTAGAGTTTTATAAGAAAGGCTCCAGGGAGAGCCTCAGCCCCTCCTACCCTGTGAGGACATAGCTCCTCTCCTGAAGGCCTCCAGGAAGACAGGTCTCCCCAGATGCAGTCAAGCTGGTCCCCTAATCCTAAATATCCCAAACTCTAGAATGATGAGAAATAAATTTCTGTTGTTCATAAGTCACCCAGTTTGTGGTATTTTGTTTTGAAGCCCAAAAGTACTAGAACACTCCTTTAATGTACTCTTTAATATATCTCATTCTGTATTTCTTAATTTCCAATTAATTTTATTAGAGTATGATGAATGTTACCTGTAAACTCTCTACATCTTAGAACTTAAGACTTTTATTTTGACTAACCACATGATTTATTTTTGTGAAAGTTCTATGGAAATATATGTGTATATATACATATATATGTGCATATATCCCCTTTTCAAGGAAGAAAATATATATTAATATGCAATGAATCAAATCAAGGTTATCCATCTCCTCAGTATTCTCTCTACAGCATTATTGTATTTACCGGTTTAATTTCAATTCTAACATAATACTAAAAAATGCTGTACAGTTGTGTTTTTAGAATGTTTTCTTATTTTTAGTGAAATAAAATGTCCCCTTCCAGTTCTAAAAAAGGAATATTTGGGGACCCCGAAGCATTTCAGGGATGCTGAGTCAGAAAAGGAAGGAGAATCAAATGTTAACCCTGAGGAAGTGCAGCAAGTCCAGGTGTTGGTGAGTGGGGAAGTAATATTAGTTAATTTGTCCTGCAAGCTAAGTGGGCTATAAAAGTCTATTCAGTGGACAGGGAAGTGTAACAGAACATGTACAACTGGAAACTAAACAAGTTCCTGAAAAGTTGATTCTTAATACTTTCGGTGACAAAATTCCACCCAACCTAAATTTATGGCCATAAAACCTGGCCTACACTGGTCTGAAGTTATGGTTTGCTTTATGCATTTAAGCACTTACTGTGATAAATTTTTCTGAGCGGAAATATTGTCTTGAACATAAGGGGGTCCTCAAATATTGCTGGGGTATTGTATATTATATGGGATGTATGGCATATAGCCTTTCTAAAATCTACAATATTCTCAAGCAAAGCAAGCAAGCCCCAGGGATCTGCACACCTGTACCATTGCACACCTGTACCATTCTGGCAACTCTGTGAAGGATGGAGAGGGTGAGCCACGGTTTGAGGTAGGAAGTACAGATCAGCGGCTGCAGTACGTTGAAATGATGGGGGAGGGTCTGGCCTAGGTCTGTGGAAGGAGCAGAGAGAAGAAATGACTGGAAAATGATTTGGTGATTGTGAAATGGAAGGTTGAATGTGTGTGGGGGGCAGATATCTGAACTTCGAAGTTTCCTGTTGGGGACTTGTGGGAATGGTGATGTCACCTCTAAGTTGGTACTCTCAGTAGGCAGAGCAAAATTTGGGAGTAAAATAGGTTCCATTTTGAACACACTGAGTTTGAAGTACCAATGAGACAGTAAATAGAAATGGGGATTTGGATATACAAGTCATAAGGTCAAGAGAGAGGTTTGCTAATGCCTGGTGGTAAGTTAAAATTTCAGATAGGTCCCAAGTCAAGACAATTCCAAATTCTTTTCCACCTAGAAAGGACAGAAAAGCAGAGAACATCTCATAGGCCTCTTCATGAACTCCCTAGAGTTTGTCATGCTTGAGGGAGGCACATGTAGGAAAGCAGAGAAAAGGTTCTTGAATTACTGTGAGCTACTGTTGCTCCAGCCTTCTTTGTGCTGGTTCAGTCACCTACAAAGTTGCTTTCTCCCATTCTGCTAGCACCTAATAGCCTCCCACATGCCAGAGATTGTCACCATTCATGTGTTCTTTGTTAATTCCAAAGAGACAAGTTATTAAGGCAAGCAATGTAGTAGCAACTCAAGGACCAATACATAGCAATAAAATAGAAAGATTTTTGGCTATCTTTTTTTTTTTTTTAGTTATAGGGGTGGTAGAATATGAATCTGTGCATCTTCTGAAATTGGTGCAATATAGTTACAGAATCTTCTCAGCTGATTTTTATTAAGTTTGGGTAGATGTAATAATACTAAGACAATCATGCACTTCACCACCACACTTTCCTAGTGATGGACACCTTATATATGTATTTTGTTTTCTCTAGATAATCTCTGCAATAGTTTCAAAAGTCATATTGCAGCTGTGACCTCTAGCAATAAACCACTGAATTCTATGCCAGGGAGAATGCATAATGATGTATCTAGCAAAGATTTCCTAACAAGGTGGCTTTACTCAAAAGTAAAAGCCTGGGGCAAAAAAATAAACAATGGAATGACCAAAAATTGCATAGTCATTTTTTTATGAACAAATTCTCTCTCAATGAATGTAGATGGCAACATAGTTTATCAACTATTGTCTGGTTTTGTTTTAGAATTTGATACTCATTTAAAGTGGACAAAATTGTTGTGAAAGATCCAGCAGAAAGCTAGCAATGGAAAACATAAGGAATCTATCTTAGGGAAGAAGCAAAGATGTTAGCAAGAGAGCTAATATAATATTGATAATGCAATCTTTTTTATTTCTCTCTTAACAGCTCAGAGAGCTGTACAAGCATATTTGAGAAACCCAGCTTTATTCCCTCTCATATGTAACTATTCCACAAGCCTCAAAGACATTGGGCTTCTCTGCGTGGTCAAAGTTGAGTTGCAAGATCATATGAGTTCCAAAGAGAAAGATGAGGGAGTGAATTGTGATGTTGAAGTGCAGGTCTAAAAATGCATTAAGTCTCTTTTGCCTGCATTCCAAAGCTCTAAATTAATCCATTGCCTCAGCTGCAAGAGAACTTAGGAAATTCATTCTCTAACTGGATAACCATGGGCTACCAGCCCACTCACTGACAGAATGGAAGACTGGTCTTCAATGGACAGCCCAGTGATAAGCTTTATCCAAACTGGTGCTGTCTCAGGATTCCTGGACTGCCTATCTAGCCAGGTCTCCTCTGCATGGAAGTGAAGTGAGGAGACTCAGAAGATTGAATAGAAAGAAGGCATGTTACTGGAATACATAAAGAATTAGACATTCTTCTAAAGTGTACTGTTTCTTACTCCCAATGGAAATTGAACCAATTCAAGTCACTTTGCTTTTATAGCTTCCATTTTTCTCCAATTTAAAAATAAAAGAGCAACTAATAACACTAGGCCATCAGTTCAGCTCTCTGGAAGCTAAGTGAGAGTATTCCTGTCCCCTGCTTTCCAGTGCAAGAGTAACAACAACTTGCAAAGGACATTATGGACTATTCAGTTAGACTACCAAAACAGAGTCAAAAATAGCTCATAGAAACCCCTTGCAATTCAATAAAAATGTTACATTTATCAAAAAATGGAAATTTTAATCTCTTGTGTTATAATGCAGCCTAGGAAAAAACTTAAGCTCAAGCACAGATATAATATGAACTAGCTAGTCTGTCTTCTATAAAAGAGTAATAATAGTTCCTTCTTGTGGCATTTTAAGGACCCAGATATTAATATAAGGGAGGTTAGGGTGGCCGAGATCTGATGAGTGCTTGCAGTGTGTCAGACCTTATTAAAAATGCTTTATCAGTCTTCACTTATTTACTCCTGACAACAATGCCTTGGAGTTTGGGATTGAGGACCAAGCTAAGGCACAAAGATATACATTATTTCATCCCTGGTTACAAAGTTAGAAGAAATGGTGGCTATGGAATTCAAATCCAGGTTGCCTAGTTATAACATCTGTGTTTTAAACACTGTGCTTAAATGGCTTGATAGCAAATGGGCATTAAGTAAGTGTCGAATAATGACCCTAATGGTATCTTCCACTATTCTTAAAATATGGATCAATCTCATTGATCTTCCACCCCACGAGAAATGAAAATAAATATTGTTCATAAACTGCTGTTATCCAAATGTAAATTGACACCAATATAACCAATTGATATTTCAATTAATTCAATATCCTTTTTAAATAGTTAGGTAGTACAGTTGGAATGTGTAATAATTTTTAAGCCCATGAAACTCCTGTTTAGTGTAAACACAATACTATATACCTCAAGGCACAAAACAGCCTAATTTCTATTGTGAGAAACCATAGCTGGTGTATTTACTTCCAAAAGTTCTCATTCTAGTTGTAGAAAACAAAAATGAAGCTTTAATTGAACCTTGTCTCCTTTATATAAAACTTGTTTTCAAACCATTAATCTACAAACATACAGTCTTGACCTTCATGTCATACCTTAAATATAAAGCTCTACAGTACCAAGAATGAGTAATTCAGTCATTGCATTAATTCTTTCCTCTAATCTCTCATGAACTTCACAGCTTAGTCTGAATTCTGGCATATGCTTCAAAATGTTCAGCCTTTTCTAGAAGGCAGTAGCTTATTGAATAGGTTTATAATTTGTTCCTACATTTGTCACATAGCCCTTAATATAGTGCCTTGAGTATGCTCAAAACCATCGGGTGTGGTTCCCAATTTAGCCTCGTGACAAGCTGCCACGTGTTTCTGAGATAAAAACAGCTAAACTGGAATTTTGAAACTTAACTGCTGTTCTGACCTAAAAATATAGAACTAATTATTACAAAGCATACCAAAAAGTTTTTCTATATGACCTTCCATATGTCTAGATTTTCTTGTTGTCTTTTTGTTTTGCTTCCAAGTCTTTATTGCATGTTGTAAGTCAAGTAACTCTCTTCTATGAAAAGTGTGTTTGTCTACATGATAGTTTAGTTTAGAATGGGGAGCAGGGGGTGATTGTTTCATTCATCACCAGTCAAGGAATGTTCTCCCTCCTCCCCAAATTCATCTGCCTCTCTAGAAGATACTACAGTTGAAAGAGTAAGGTCTAGAAAATGGTAATCAAGGGCAAATATCCAAATACTGTTTCCCTCCCTCTAAATTCTCTCTGCCTGCTATTTAGCAAATTTGAGGAGCTCTCCCTGGAGGGAAAAACATCAGGCTACAGTTGTAGTTAAGGAACCTAACCTGTATTTGGATTCCTAATATACCAGAACTGCTCTAGCAACCATTATCTCATTTTTTTCTGTGTGACAACTCTGGAAGATAGATACTGTTTGCAATCACTTTACATAATATTTCTGGAAATTTTATTGTAAAACAAGAATACAATAAGCTGCACAAAATATATGATTTGATGTGTTTGACATATTTATACATCCAAAAAGTGAAGATCATTATTATATCCATCATTCCTGAAAGGCTCCTTATGCCCCTTGATCTCTTCAATTACCCGTACCTGTCCTACTCACCCTCCAGGCAACTGTAATACTACATTAATCTTATGTAAAATTTTATTTAAATGGAAACATATGAGTATATACTTCTTTGTCTCATTTCTTTCATTTAGCACAATTATTTTGAGATTTATCAAATTGTTTTAGTAATTTTTTGTTGTTGTTGTTGAGCAATACTCCATTGTATAGATGAACAATTATTTATTCATTCACCTGCAGTATACTTTGGGTTTTTCCCAGTCTTTGGGTATTATTTTAAAAGCTTCATATATCTTTACATATGGGTTATAAGGTGCATAAATAGAAATCAATTTTTGTTGGATGCATACTTGAAGATAGAATGGCTAGATTGTATGTTTGGAATACCTTTGACATATGTTTGACATACCTTTGACATATGTTTGACACCAAAATGTTTTTCCAAAAGGTTGTACAATTCTACATTCCCATCAACTATGTATGAGAGTTCCAGTCCCCCCCAAATCATTACCAACATTTTCAATGGTCAATTTTTTAAATTTTCACTCATATTAATTTTAACTCTTACTAGATGACTGAGCAAGCACACTCCTTGGTATTTACTCAAAGGAGTTAAAAAAGTATGTCCGCACAGAAACTTGCGCAGAGATGTTTGCAGCATCTTTGTTCATAATTTTCAAAACTTGGAAGCAACCAAGATACCCTTAACTAGGTGAATGGATAAATAAACTGTGGCACATCCAGACAAAGAAACATCATTCAATGCTAAAAGAAAAATGAATTAAGAAGCCATGAAAAGATATGGAAGAAAATTCCGTACATATTATTAAGTGAAAGATGATCAATCTGAAGGGCTACCTACTGAATGATTCCAACTCTTTGATGTCCTGGAAAAGGAGAGAATAAAAATACCAGTGATTGCCAGGGATTTGAGTGATGGAGGGATGATTAGGGAGAGTACACAGGGTTTTTGGTGCAATGAAATGCTCTCTATGATACTTTAATGATGAACACATTTCATACATTTGCGGAACCCCATAATGAATGCACCCCACTGAAAGTGAACAATAATCTAAATTATGAACTTTGGGTGATTATGATGTGTACAATGATTTTTTTCATCAATTATAACAGATGAACAATTCTTGGGAGTGTTGTTGATAATGGCGGGATGAAACTATGTGTGTGGATAGGAAGTATATAGGAAATCTACGTACTTTTCCTTCACTTTGCTATAAACATAAAATTGCTCTTAAAATAATAATATCTATTTTTTAAAGCATAGAAATAAAAATAGCAAATTTAGCATGTCAAATCAGCTTCAGTGACTCTATTGCTAAATTACATTTTAGTCTATGGGTATAGTTTTTCAAGACAAAATAAAGTGTAATAAATATACTTTTAAATTAGGTGTCTATGTATATGGGTCTATTATGGACTTTGTATTCTGTTCCATTGATCCATTTGTCTGTCTTTATGCCTCCACAGTTTTAATTACAGTTGCTTCATAGTAACTTTTAAATTCAGTGTTAGTTCTCCATCTTTGTTCTTTTTCAGTTATTTGGTTACTCTACATCCTCAACTTTTCCAAGGAATTTTAGAATCAGTTTGTTAATTTCTAATTTTAAAAAATCCTTTTTTAATTTAACTCAACCATGTTTTATGCTCTGAAACTACTGATGTTTAGCATCTTTTGTTATGTTTATCCCTAATGTTAAATGTTATTTTCATAAGGAATGATCTGATTGTTCATTATGAGTATGTGGAAGTACAATTGTTTTTGTTTTTTGTTTTTTTTTGCTTTACAAAAAGTATTTTATTTTATTTTTTTTTTTTAATAAATTTTATTGTTATATTCCCCATACAATTGCAGCCCCCCATTCTGACCCCAATCCCTCCCCTCCCACCCCCGCCCCCCTAAAAGTGTCTCTGGTTCATAGTTTTTTGTTGATTTTGATTTTCACTTTCTTGTAGTTATTCGTTTTCCTGGTCCCTTATTTAAGTTTTCTAGATTCCTGCTATGAGTGAGACCATCCGGTATTTTTCTTTTTCTTTTTGGCTTATTTCGCTGAGCATGATCCCTTCCAGCGCCATCCATGTTGCTGCAAATTGCATGTGTTTATCTTTTTTGAATGCTGAGTAATATTCCATGGTATATATGTACCACATCTTCTTGATCCAGTCATCTATTTTTGGGCATTTGGGTTGTTTCCAAAGCTTAGCTATTGTAAATAGTGCTGCTATAAACATAGGGGTGCAGGTGTTCTTTGGAATTGATGTTTCTGTGTCCTTTGGGTAAATACCTAGGAGTGGAATTGCTGGATCATATGGAAGCTCTATGTTTAGTAGGTCCAGAAATCTCCATACAGCTTTCCACAGTGGTTGGACCAGTTTGCACTCCCACCAACAGTGCAGAAGAGTTCCTTTTTCTCCACACCCTCGCCAACATTTGTTGTTGCTAGTTTTTTTAATATGTGCCATTCTCACTGGTGTAAGATGGTATCTCATGGTAGTTTTGATTTGCATTTCCCTGATGACAAGTGATGTTGAACATTTTTTCATATGCCTGTTGGCCATTTGCATTTCCTCTTCAGAGAAGTTTCTTTTAAGCTCTTCTGCCCATTTTTTGACTGGATTATTTTCTTTGTTGTTGTTGAGTCTCATCAGCTCTTTGCAGATTTTTGTGATCAGTCCTTTATCATTAGTGTTGGGTGCAAAAATGTTCTCCCAGTTGGTGGGGTTTCTCTTTGTTTTTGTTATTGTCTCTTTTGCTGTGCAAAAGCTCTTTAATTTGATGTAGTCCCAGCTGTTTATCTTTGCCTTCACTATCACTGCTTTGGGTGATGTGTCTGTAAAGATGTCTTTGATGTGCAAATCACGTAGTGTTTCGCCTATATTTCCTTCTATATATTTTATGGTTTCAGGTCTTATGTCTAGTTCTTTAATCCATTTTGAGTTAATTTTTGTGTATGGTGTGAGGTGGTGGTCAAGCTTCATTCTTTTGCATGTAGCGACCCAGTTTTCCCAGCACCATTTATTGAACAAACTTTCTTTGCTCCAATGCATATTATTTGCTCCTTTGTCAA